CACGTGCCCTATAGCAAAAACCTATCCAAAAAAAAATCGAAAAAAAGTCTATTTCTGTCTTTCTCTCCTCCTCTCTCTCTTATTAAAAAGAAAGAAAAAAAGATGTAATGTCATTTTACCTAGAAATAATTCTGTGTCTATCTCTGACAGATAAGAACTTTTTTTAGAAAAATATAACCCAAATTTTTTACATTATCCTTCTCTCTTTCTCATAAAAGGAAATAAAAGAGAATAGCTGGGAAAGAGATTATTTTTTCTCTGAATGTCCTCTGCTAGCCCCTAAAGCTACCAGAAAGAAGACAGTGTGGATGATAATAATCTTATTTATAATACTTTCAGTGGTTGCTGCTTTTGTAACATGTTTCATTTCTGTATCAAGTAGGTTGTTTTTGTTTTATTTATATGAATGCCATGCCCATCAGTCTATCACTGAAGTGATTTCTTTTCCAGTCTAAGGGTAATGTATAAATCAAATGTGTTTTATTTATGAACTCTAAGAAGATGACATTTAAAAGTGTTTCTTTTGTAATTTATTATGCGGTTGCCCTGTTTCTTAGAATGCTTAGGATTTTGTTTGGCTCCACTCATTGTTAACAGCAGTAGCTGAATTTATTTTAAGGCAATTTAAATTATTCATTATATACTGACATATGCAGGTATTTGCATAATCTCAAATGCAATGTTAAATGTAAAATAATATGGGATTGTGCACATTATTTTCAGTCAAATTTCTACCTTGAAATCACTAGTTCAGTGAAGATACAGAGACTGAAGATATTAAGGCAAAGCAGTTTAATAGATTGAGCATAACCAGCAGGAGTTTGGGGCCTTTAGCTGTCATTATCTCAAGGTTTGAACTAGGATAGAAGTTGTGTTTGTTTTTTGTTTATTTGTTTTTGCCAGAGGGCAAGTATATTAGTCAGAGAGGAACAGAAAGACAAGGAGGAGGGGAGAAAGCTCCTATCTCAACAGGACGTGGTCAGACTGCAATCTCTTCTCCATTTCTCCTCCATCCTGTCAGGATTTGGGGCATGACCTGCAAGTTTTTCAAGTCATAAGGATAGGGACTCAAACCACACAGTCACCCGTGGGATTCAATTGTCTTAACCACCAGGCTCTGGAGCCAGCCTGAACAGGACAGAAGTCTTATTGAACAACTGGTGCTTTGGGAACTAGCATTATTCACTGCTTCTATTAGTTTGTTGTTTTACTTATTCAACAAATCTTTTTTATACTACACAACCTAAGGAACTCACAATTGCACGGGAGAGTCAGATGCCGACAGATTATTGTGTGACCTGTCCAGCACACCAAAGGGCCTACATCCAAATGTACAAACATAGAAAGGCCCACCCAGCCCAACCTATCAGAGAGGGAGCCTGGGAAATCTCCTGGAAGAGGAGATGCCCTTCAGAAGGAGGAGTTAATTGAAATAAGGGTCAGAGATTGCGGGGAAGTAAGAAATGGTTGGGAATGAGAGTATTCTGGACAAAGGAAACCATGTGAACAAAGTCATGAATGCAAAAAAACAATACCCATGTTTGTTTGCCCCAGGGGCTAGTGCTGCAGAAGCAGTGTACATGGACTCTAAGCAAGGCCAGATGACCCGGATTTGAATCCTGGCTCTGCTCTTTGCTAACTGTAACCTTTGGCATTCTGACGAACTCTGTGCCTGTGTTTCTTCATCCATAAAGTGGGACTAACAGTGATATTGACTTCACAGTGTGCTTTCCATGATCACCATTATCATATGTGAAGCACTTAGAATTGTGCCTGGCACCTAGTCAGAGTGATGTAGATGTTTACTCTCTTTATTATAAAGCACATGACAGACAGTAAAGTAATCGGGCTGGTCAAACAGTGGAGGCTTTGTCTGCCAAGCTGATGAACTTGGGCTTCATTTTATGAGTAGGGGGAGTCAAGAAAAGATTTTAAGCAGGGAAATGACGTGAGAGAGCTTGTGTTTTTGCTACATCCCTCTGATTTTATAGAAGCTAGAGATGAAGGGAATGAGATGGATACAGTTAGACCAATCAATAGGCTGCCGCATCAGTGGAGGCCTCAATTACAGCATTGACAGCAGGATGGACAGGAGGCGTGTTGAAATAAATATTTAAGAGGGTAAATCTACAGAACTTTATTGATTGGGTATGAGGAATTATAAAGTAGAAAGAGTTGGGCTTCAGTTATAAATATATATCAAAATCAAACATTTAAGTAAGAGTAATGAGAAAATAATAAAATCATGGGATCAGCCGATGACATAATGGCTATGTCGCTGGACTCCAATATAGTCAACTGAGGTTCAAGTACTAGATCCGGTGGCTTAAAACTCACACTAGGGGGCCAGCAGTTAGCATAATGGCTATGTTGCTGGACTCCCACGTAGTCAACCGTGGTTCGCGTCCTGGACCCGGTGACTTAAACTCACGCCAGGCGCATGTGCATGCGTGCCCAAGATCCCGAGAGGAGAATGGAGGAGAAGGGATTGCAGCATGGCCATCCCCCCCTGGGGGGTGATTTCTCACTTTCTATCTCTCTGTCTCTGTCTGTCTGGCGAGCGCACACGCCCTCTAGCAAAAACCTCTCCAAAAAAAAAAAAAAAAAACTCACAGTAGGCACATATGCATGCATGCCCCCAAATCCCAAGAGGAGAGTGGAAAAGAAGGGACTGCAGTGTGGCCATCCTCCCTGGAGGGGTGATTTCTTGCTCTCTGCCTCTCTGTCTCTCAGGTGAGTGCAAGTATCCTATAGCAAAAATCTCTTTTAAAATAAAACATAAAAGAACAAGAGAAAATAATAAAATCATGTGTTGGCAGTAGAGTATCTTTAAAGAAACAAATTTCTTTATTTATGTTTTTTAGAGAGATTCTTGCTATAGGATTGTGTACTTACCACAGAGATGGAGGCAGAAAGCAAGAAATCACTTCTGGGGGAGGGGGATGGCCATACCACAGTCCGTTCTCTTCCATTCTCTGGGGATTTTGGGCACACAGGCACACAAGCCCCGTGTGAGTGAGTTTTAAGCTGCCAGGTCCAGGACTTGAATCACAGTCGACTTCATGGGAGTCCAGAGATGTAACCATTATGCCATCTGCTGGTCCCCAAACTTCTTTATTTGTTAAAACCCAGAGACAAGATTAATGAGCTAACTATGGCGTAGCTAAAAAAGATGCTATTTATTAAAACATTTTCCTATCCACATTAATTACCAATGCATTTACAGGTTTTCATAAGTCATATTCATTCATAATTCTAAATACATGTCTGACACCCTCTCTGACCATCTGTCTGTTGATGTGAGGTGGTCGATTTGTTACATTGATTTTATAGGTATGTGTACTTTGAACTGTAGCCCTCCCCACTATTGTTTTATAATCTTACTTCCTGTGTCTACTTGCCTAATGTACTCCAAAAGCTTTTTCCGACCATAATCTCCCATTTAGCTTGTGTAAGATCCTTTTTCCATGAACAGATGTGCGTGCAGATGCTTTTTTAAAAATGCATATTTTTTAGTTTTGCAACACACTGAGTTACTTTGAAAAATCCATGTCTTGTTTCTGTTAGTTTTTCAAAGTGATTTTGCATATTTGAAGGAAAAAAAATCTCACAGCTGTCTGTATTTCAATTAACTCTGGGTTCCATGACCAAAAACAACAGCAATGCCTGGCCCAACAGAAGACTCCAGGACTTGGCTGGAGTACTATGGCTGTCCTCATCCATCCATCTGGTGCCATTTTGGTTGTTACATGTTTTCAGTATCACTCTTACATGTATTCTCAGTTCAGGATCTTCTCGACTTGAATCACAGTCGACTTCATGGGAGTCCAGAGATGTAACCATTATGCCATCTGCTGGTCCCCAAACTTCTTTATTTGTTAAAACCCAGAGACAAGATTAATGAGCTAACTATGGCGTAGCTAAAAAAGATGCTATTTATTAAAACATTTTCCTATCCACATTAATTACCAATGCATTTACAGGTTTTCATAAGTCATATTCATTCATAATTCTAAATACATGTCTGACACCCTCTCTGACCATCTGTCTGTTGATGTGAGGTGGTCGATTTGTTACATTGATTTTATAGGTATGTGTACTTTGAACTGTAGCCCTCCCCACTATTGTTTTATAATCTTACTTCCTGTGTCTACTTGCCTAATGTACTCCAAAAGCTTTTTCCGACCATAATCTCCCATTTAGCTTGTGTAAGATCCTTTTTCCATGAACAGATGTGCGTGCAGATGCTTTTTTAAAAATGCATATTTTTTAGTTTTGCAACACACTGAGTTACTTTGAAAAATCCATGTCTTGTTTCTGTTAGTTTTTCAAAGTGATTTTGCATATTTGAAGGAAAAAAAATCTCACAGCTGTCTGTATTTCAATTAACTCTGGGTTCCATGACCAAAAACAACAGCAATGCCTGGCCCAACAGAAGACTCCAGGACTTGGCTGGAGTACTATGGCTGTCCTCATCCATCCATCTGGTGCCATTTTGGTTGTTACATGTTTTCAGTATCACTCTTACATGTATTCTCAGTTCAGGATCTTCTCTACAGAATTTCATGATAGCAAATAGAGATTTATCTTCAATGGTTGTTTTTATTGTATTTGTTCAGTGATAATCTTTGTGGTTTTTTTTTTTAATCTTTTATCCTTTTTATCCATAAATGCTGGTTTTTTGTTTTGTTTTGTTTGCTTAGGAAGTTGATGTGGTCAGTACATGTATAAGTATATTGATTTTAGCTTATCATATTTTGCAGTTTCTGTAAATATTGGCTGCCTGTTACACCCCACTGAAGCTAGTAAAAAGACAAAACAATTCTAACAAGGAATATCTATGTTTTCTTTTCAAATAGATCTCATTTTACTGCTGACACACAGCTATGTAATCTTTTTTAGAATAAGAAATTTTTTAATAGTTTTCCACTTATAAAATCTGTAATGTTATTCTTTGTGTTAGTTACTGTAGCATTTTTAATGCATTTTCCCTCCTGCAGGTATTCTTGGCGTCACCAGCTGAGGGAATTTAAAAGTGAATATCGAGTTGTAGCACTGGATTTGAGAGGTTATGGAGAAACAGATGCTCCTATTCATCGCAAGAACTATAAATTGGATTGTCTGATAACAGATATAAAGGATATTTTAGATTCCTTAGGTAAGTTAGTTAAAAAAAAAAAACCACTATTAATTCTTTTTTAAGGGATTATTGTTCAACAAATAGTGAATTGATAGCTTTTTTCTTGGGAGAATGCATTTTCCATCTACCCAAGCTGTTATCTATTGGGTGGTCAGGAAGTCATAATGCATTTTTGTACAGAAAAACAGAAAAATATGCATGACTTTCCTAAAGAGCTAATAGATCCTGTCACTAGTGTTTTGGACATACAACTGAAATATTTACACAGGAAACTTCAAATACTGCATGCAGAGTAACTATTCAGTCCTCCAGCCAGATACGATTTTCAAAATTTGTTTTTAAAAATAGACCTAATGTATACTGGCTATTATTTTTAGAACTAATTATTGAAGATTTGATTCTCATACATAGATTTATTTATTCAAAACCCAAACCTAAATATTTATTTTAAAATGTGATAAAACGCAGAAGCACTTGCATCAACTCTTTTGTACTGAACAGCTAGTACCAATAATGCTGTGTAATAAACCTCCCCAAACTCAGGGATGTACAACCATAACCATTTATTTCTATGTGTATGGATCTGCAGGTCATCTGTAGGCAGGACTGCTCTGGGTCTTTGTCTCAGGCTGCAGGTCCAGCTGAGACTGGCTTCTCATTGTGAGTTGGGTTGGCACCAAAGTTAAAGAGGAATAGCTTCCTGGGAAGAGCTCTTCTCCTGTCAATGGCAGAAGTGGTGGCAAGAGGGCAAGCCCAGCTGCACAAACATATCAAGGTCCTACTAGCATTTCACTGGCCAAAGCAAGTCATGTGGCAGAGCCCAAAGTCAAGTCATACTGCCACTGATACCAAAGCAAACCACATGGCCAAGTTAAAATGAAAAGGACACCAAAGCATACTCTATGGCCATGGGGAAAGGGGAGGAGTACTTTTTTTTTTTTTTTTTTTTTTTGAGAGGTTTTTGCTATAGGGCACATATGCTCACCAGAAAGACAGAGAGACAGAGAGATAGAAAGCGAGAAATCACTCCCCAGGGACGATGACCATGCCGCAACCTCTTCTCCTCCATTCTCCTCTTGGGATCTTCTTGGGCAGGCACGCACACATGTGCTAGGTATGAGTTTAAGGCGCCAGGTGTGAGTTTAAGCCATCGGGTCCAGGACTTGAACCACGGTCAACTTCACGAGAGTCTAGCGACATAGCCATTACATCAACTGCTGATCCTAGGGAATAAATATGTTTTTAACAATGATACAATCTATTACATCCCCTTTGACCAAACCCCAGCTGCTATCATCAGTTTGTTAATGGAACCATTATGGTGAGAAAGACCGTGTAATCCAAGGTCCTTTCTAGAATCACCTAATGAGAGCATAGATCAGGCTGGTATTTTTAGAAGAGAAAATATGAACAGGGCCCATGGGTGTCAAGGTGCAGTTTTGGTATTTAGTCTGATTACAACAAAATAGACTCAGATGCTGATTTTTGAATAGTTATTTTTATTCAAATTTTGTGATAATTCAGTAAAACCTGGCCTAAATTTGTCATAAAAGTTTCTGGGCAAAACAGTAATATTGTGTGTATGTGTGGTGTGTGTGTGTACCACAGCGGGAGTGAGAGTGAAATACTTGAAAGTAGTACCTTTAAGTACTCCAGGAGTAAGTTACAAATGAATCTTACCCATTCATACTGGAGAAATTCTTTAGGAGTCTCTATTAATCAACATTTAAACCTAATTCAGATTACGATATGATTAACATGAAATGAAACTTGTTTATAATTGGTGCCATAATTCAGACTTAAGACTAATTCAGTTTGACTTCATAGTTCAAAATTAGTGCTGTTTCACTGGACTTGAAAAGTTAGGGGGAAATAGATGCTTCCTAAAATAAAGACTTACCAAGTTGGATATATATGGGATGCTTACGATTTTACTATAACTAGAAATTTATGCTGCACTCACCCGTGTCTTTTCACTGATGTCCTCATTTCTTTCCTGATTCTAGGGTACAACAAATGTGTTCTTATTGGCCATGACTGGGGGGGCATGATTGCGTGGCTAATAGCCATCTGTTTTCCTGAAATGGTGATGAAGCTTATTGTTGTTAACTTCCCTCACCCAAACGTGTTTACAGGTGAGTCTAAGTTCTCATTAAGACGTCTCGTCTCTGTGACTATGAAAGTTCACCGTTGTCACTGACATTTTGGGTTAAGAACAGCAAAGATTGATGAACTTAGACTCTTTTAAAAATAAAACGACTCCATCATGACAGCAAATGACAATGTCAGATATGTTTTGGTTTTAAATCTTTCTGAGGAGCCTAAGAAAATTTACCTTCCAATTTGCTTGCATAGTTCTGTTCCTTTTTTGAAAATATTTTTCTGCTAATTTGAGGAGGGGTAATGGGAAAAAAAAATACAGTGATATTTCCTTGACAGTAATGAATCCTGACAACCTGAAAATAAATCATCTTGGCCACCTGCATTTGGTTGTTAGGTGTAGTACTATATTTACTTATTTATTTATTTACTTATTTATTTGAGAGACAGAGAGAGAGAGAGATGTACTTTTTTCAGCAAGTTCTCATCACTGTGATCCTCTGCCCCAACCTCTCGATTGGCTAAGATTACGGGCAAGTACTATCATATTCGGCCTGTCTAGGTTGGTCTGGGATCTGAATGGCCTGCCGTATTGTCTGAACATTCACAGTGGCACCCTACCACATATGTCACTGCAGCTGGGCCCGGCAGAATTCTTTAAAGCAGTAGTTCTCAAATTTAGGGGTCTGAGGACTTCTTGATACTCTTAACAATTATTAAAGACCCCAACCAAGTTTTGTTTATATGGGTTACAGCTATAAATATCCACTGAATCAGAAATTAAAAGTGAAATTGAAAGTGAGAGACTGGCAGGTGGCATGGTGGTTAAGGTGCTGGATTCCCACATGGCCAATTGCAGTTTGAGTCCTGGACCTGGCAGCTTGCTTTCTTGTTTTACCTTTCTCTCTGTCTCTGTCTTTCTGGTCAAATTTAAAAATAGTAATAATAGCAAATGGAATTAAATAAATAATTATTTGAAAAAAATTAAAGGTGAGAAAAAATTTTAAGTTATGTATTAATCCACTTAAAAACTCACTGCATGTTAAAACAAACAACACATTCTAATGCAAACTAATCACACCTTTCGAAACAAAATTTCAGTGAAAAGAATGTCATTGTTTCACATTTTTGCAAATCTCTTTAAATTTTGGCTGAATAGAAGACAGTTGGATTCTCATGACTGAGTCTGCAATCTGTTACAGTATGTTGTTTAAAGGCAAGTTTACGGAGAAATCTGGCTTCACACAGATTTGTAGTTGGAAAGGGAGGAATATTTTAATAGCCTTTTTAGGTGACTGTTGATTGATATGCTTTCTTAATACTATACCAAACTCAAAAACTGGTAGCTTCTTAAAAGTTTGTAGCAATAGCATGTGAAATGTACCAGACAAATGTTGTAACCAGTACCTATGAAAACACAATGTGATATGTAATATCACATAAATGAACATTTTATCCTCTGTTGTACGCTAGCATTTTATCCATACATGATTTTGTATCATTGTGAATTGTAAGATTATTAGTTCACTGAGTTAAACAGATCTTCTTTTTAAAGAATTATTTTACTTTAACTTATTTATTTATTTATTTATTTATTTAAATTTTATCAGAAAGGGACAGAGTGAAAGAGAGAAAGAGAATGCAAGACACCAGGTTCAGGACTCAATCGTGGTTGGCCATGGGGGAGTCCAGCACCTTTAACCATCATGCCACCTGCCAATCCAAGCAGATCTTCTTCTTTTTTTTTCTAGAGGTTTTTGCTATAGGATGCAAGTGTTCGTCAGAAAAAAACAGAGAGACAGAAAGCAAAAAATCACCTCCCAGGGGGGATGGCCACACTACAATCCCTTCTCCTCCATTCTCCTCTCAGGATCCTGGGCATGCACACACATGTGCCTGGTGTGAATTTAAGCCACCAGTTCTGGGACTCAAACTGCGGTTGGCTACATGGGAGTCCAGTGATATAGCCATTACATCAACTGCTGGTCCCCCAAGCAGATCTTCTATTTGACAAATTTATTCTACAATATGAAAAATCCCATTCATCAATAACCCAAATCCCATCAAAACAACATTTCAGGATTGCAAAGTTGTCAAGCTCACAGTAGCAGATACAAGTTTTCCAAAATTCTATTTCATTTTAGCACTTCAATGTTATCAATGGCAACAAATATTGGTGATTTTTTTTTGAAATGACAGGCTCACCTTGTTCATTTTCAAGAGATTATCTGTCAAGTACCTGTGTCTGACTGGCAATAGTCATTCTTTCAAGTGAAAAGGTTATTTTATTAAAAAGGAGCTAAATCAACTCTTCAATCAATTACAGAAAGTACTTTTTCTTGAGACATCTATTGGATTCGGGTGTGCAACAGTACTGCTTAATGTGTACTCTATATTGTACCCCAGAATATTAAAAAGATGTGTACTGGAAGGTCAAAGTTTAAGACAATTAAGTTTTGTTATTTCTTCAAGGACCTTGTTAAGTGACGGTGGTGGTGAATTATATTTAATTAATTTATTGCAAATGTGTAGTGGTAAAGACTCAGTGACTGCTAGTATTGTTTAGTGCAACCACTTTGACTAGTGTTAAGGCCGCAGTGACTTTCTCCATCATTCCTTTTGTACCATCAGTACATATACCAACACATGAAAAAGAAAAAAAAAAGGGAACCAGCAGTTAGCGTAATGGCTATGTCGCTGGATTCCCACGTAGTCGACCGCGGTTCGTGTCCCGGACCCGGTGGCTTAAAACTCACGCCGGGCGCGTGTGCGTGCGTGCCCAAGATCCCGAGAGGAGAATGGAGGAGAAGGGATTGCGGCGTGACCATCCCCCCTGGGGGGTGATTTCTCGCTTTCTGTCTCTATGTCTCTCTCTGTCTGTCTGGCGAGCGCACGCGCCCTACAGTGAAAATCTCTCAAAAAAAAAAAAAAAAAAGCAAAAAAAAAAAAAAGCAAGTAGTGTCTTAATATTATTATGAAATAGTTTTGACCACTCGGATACATTAAAAGGATCTTAGAGATTCCAGGGATCCATAGTGACTAGACTTTAAAAGTTCTGCTTTCTTTTCTTTTCTTTTCTTTTTTTGGCAGAAGTTTTTGCTATAGGACGCATGCACTTGCCAGAAAGAGAGAGAGAAAGCGAGAAATCACCACCCGGGGGGATGGCCACACTGTAATCCCTTCTCCTCCATTCTCCTCTCAGGATCTTAGGCATGCACGCACCCACGCCCAACGTGAGTTTAAGCCACCGGGTCTGGGACTTGAACCATAGTCGACTACATGGGAATCCAGTGACGTAGCCATTAGGCCATCTGCTGGTGCCATCTTTTCTTTCTTTCTTTCTTTCTTTCTTTCTTTTTTTTTTAAAGAATTGGGCTTTTTAAATATTTTTTAACTTTATTTATTTATTTATAATTTGACCAGAGAGGGACAGCATGTGTGTGTATGTGTGTGGGGGGCGGGGGGAGTGAGAAAGCAAGCTTCCAGGTCTAGGACTTGAACTTTGGTTAGCTGTGTGGGGGTCCAACACCTTAACCACCTTGCCACCTGCCAGCCTCTTTTTTTATTTATTGTTATTTTTTTTTTTTAATTTGCTACAGGACACATGAGCTCATCAGAGAGAGATAGAGAGGGAAAGGGGGAAAGTTTTCCTTTTCTTTAAAGACCTCTTAGAATCTTATTAGAGATTACATATCTTTGAGCAGTAGTTAGGCACATGTTTAGTACAATTTATAATTCTGTCCCCCTTAGCTACCCTTGTTTTCTCAGGTTCAAGTATTACTACAACCTACAGCAGTCTTCTATAAGACAAATTCAGAACAGGGCCAGCTCTGTGCCCTGATGGTTCAGGCAGCTGAATCCCACATGACCAACCAGGCAGTTCAGGTCTTAATCTAGTGACTTGAGAAACATGCTTGGCATGTGTGCATGTCCAACAAAAAAAAAGCAGAAGTGGAGAAATGTTTGCAGCGTGACTATTTTCCATGGCATGCGCTTTCTCCCCTCCCTCTCTCACTGTCTCTTTCTGGCAAGAACATGTGCTCTCTTTTTCAGAGTTTATTTTGACTTAGGGTATGTGCACTTGGCAGAGAGACACAGACAGACACAGTGAGAGGAAAAGCAAGAAATCACCCCTCACGGAGGATGGCCATGCCACAGTCCCTTCTCGTCCATTCTCCTCCCGGGATGTTGGGCACACACATGTGCCCAGTGTGATTTTAAAGCCACCAGGTCTGGGACTCGCACTGCAATCAGCCATGTGGGAGCCCAGCAATGTAACTGCTATACCATTTGCTGGTCCCTGAGTATCATATTTCTATTTCTTCCTCAAAAGTAAACAGTTAAGTAAGAAAAGAACCATTACTACCTAAATACAGTATATTATAAAGGTAAGAGTTCAATTTTAGGTACATATCCACTTGACCTTTCTCTGTTGAGGTACAGAAGAATAGATGCTTAGGATTCAAACGTTCTGAGATTCCTTATGTTTCTCTCAGTTGAATGGCAGCAGAAATCCATACCGCATGCTTGTTCAATTGACCAGGACCTGGAGTGTTATTTTGGTGGTTTCACTCTAAGAACAAACTGTAACTGTAAGTGATCATTTCGGCAAGAAAATACTTAAGAGTATTTCTGGAATTCATTTATCAACAATAGGTTCAACTCTTATCAGGACAATAAGAAATCTTCAAGTAGCATGCTTATATTTTCTCCTTAATTGTATTGATAGCTCTTAATGTAGGAATGAATGAATCTTGTTCAAGGGTGACATTATAAAAAGTGTAACAAGTATACAATGAAACAGTTACCCGAAATTTCTATTTCTAAAAACTGTATCCATAGTTACAAAATGAAAAATAAGAAAATAAAAGAATTCTATAGCAAGGAAAATAAAATATACTACATGATACACTAGTACGCACTGTTCATCTGGTGATCAGTTTAAAACCTCAACATCTTCCCGTAGCTCTCGAAATAAAATCCTTACCATTCTGGTTCTATGTAATCATGTTTCAGCCTTTTTTTCTAACTCATTTCATACCATCTGCCCCTCATTCACTGCCCACCAGCCACCTTGGTCTTCTTCGTGCTTCTTAAATGTGTCAAACCCAGTACCTACTTGCTGTTCCTGGATGCTCTTCCTAGATCTTTCATGAGTGACTCCTTTTCATAAATCAAGACTCAACACACAAACACCACATTCCCAGAGGGGCCATCATGGACCTCCTCTACTAATAACAGTCCCTCAACCCCACCCCTCATCATTCGCAATCAGATTACCTCATTTTATTTTCTTTATAGTCTTATTGATCTCTGAGGTGATCTTTTAACTATTTGTTACTTAGTAAGTTCCTCTTGCATGGAACCTTCTCCTGTCTCATTCACTGCTAAATCTCCAGCAGATCCCCAGCAGAAAATTATGTCACCATGAATCCCTTGGAAATGTGTTAGGTCACTGGTAATAGGACCTTGGGGAAGAAGCAGTGTTGTTTGGGCTTCTCTTCCCTCTTGGGTCAATATTTCACAAAGTGAAACTTTGTTTATATTTAAAGTACTATAGATTTTCTAAATATCTGGTATACTGGGACCAGCAGTTAGCATAATGGCTATGTCGCTGGACTCCCACGTAGTCGATTATGGTTTGCGTCCCGGACCCGGTGGCTTAAAACTTACGCCGGGTGCGTGTGCATGCATGCCCAGGATCCTGAGAGGAGAATGGAGAAGGGATTGCAGCATGGCCATCCCCCCTGGGGGGTGATTTCTCGCTTTCTGTCTCTCTGTCTGTCAGGCGAGCACATGCACCCTATAGCAGAAACCTCTCCAAAAAAAAAAAAAAACAAATCTGGTATACTTACAAGGAAATGTAAGAACATAGAAACTGTGGGGCTAGCAGATGGCCTAGCAGGTACATTGCTGAACTCCCACATGGCTGATTGTGGTGTGTGTCCTAGACCAGTGCCTTGAAAATCATGTCCGGTGCGTGTGTATGCATGCCCTAGGAGTGATTGCATGCCCCACGAGTGATTTCTTACTTTCCCTCTCACTGTGTCTGTCTCTTTCCAGTAAATGCACTCCCCCTAAGGCAGAAAAAATAGTGAGTGCATGCACTCTAAGGCAAAAATCATAGAACATAGAAGTTGCTCCAAAGAGAAATATGCAAAAACATTATTTGATGATTTTGTGTGTGTGTGGAATTATCTTTAAAATAAAATTATCTTAAAAAGTTCTTTTGATAGTAAGTAATTTATATTCCTTGGGTAAAGGAAGTCTAATGTGATATTTTAATTTCAGAATATATTTTACGACACCCGGCCCAGCTGTTCAAATCTAGCTATTACTATTTCTTCCAAATACCACGGTTCCCAGAATTTATGTTCTCAATAAATGATTTTAAGGTAAGTCAAACAAATGATGTATTTTGTTATTAGTGAAAAACATTTTTTCATTGCCAGAGGGTGCATATGTTTTCCAGAGAGAGAGACCAATAAGTTCGGTAACACCATAGTCCTCTTTCCTCCATTCCATCAGAATTTCAGACATGCATACATTTGCACCTGGCATTTTTTTTTCCTTAATAATTATTTTATTTTATTATCATTATTTTTAAAAAATTTGACTAGAGAGAGACGTGGGGGGGTGAGGGGGGGGAACATGCGAAGCAAGCTGCCAGGTCCAGGACTTGAACCGCAGGCAGCCATGAGGGAATCCACACGCCTTTAACAAC